CTTTGTAGCGCTGCCAGTGTAAAATTAGTGCCGGTGGAACTAAGAAGAAATCGTACGAGCTTATGCTGACTGTAAAGGAAAGGATTGCAATGGAAGCCAAATAGACATGCTTTCTTGTTAGCGCCTCCAGTGCTAGCTTTATGCTAGTCTTACACTGGTTGAGCACAGAAGAAACCTTATCCTTTTTACTTCCATGGGAATCCTTTCCTCCCGAACCAGGATAAATCACTTACTAGGGGCGAAAGGACTGCCATGGAAACAAAAGAGATCATATTTCTTCTTCTTGATTATGCCACGTAGCCCAGTTGACTTCTTGAGCTCATCAAAAATTAAGTAAGGGAATGGTGATGGGGGATTGGTGTTGAGGAGGAATGCAAAGAACCTAGTATATTGGCAAAGCAGGGGCCTCTGTCGACTGAGGATTGACCGGGCAAGATGGGAGGGAAATTTATTTGTGCTGCAGCATCACTTCAGTCGATCATAAGGATGAGGGACAGGGTGGGGGTGGGGGCTGCAAAATTTCAAGTTTAAAACAGATTTGTATTTAACATTGGGGGGGGTGCATGTTGTTACTTTGAACATACTTTGCATGGCCTGTCGTACCTCAAGGATTACCTGAACTGCTTTTATTGACATCTGCATCCATTTTATAAACATTAAAACGTATACTTTCATTTTAATCTTATAGACAAGGATGATGCCAATATCAGTACACTGGAAAACAAGCAACATTGAAAAGCAAAGCAAATTGAAGCAGGAATAAAAGATATTTTCCATTTCATTCAGAAAGCCGCACACTTTGTGGCTATTGTGGGAAAAGCACAGAGTTCAAATCACAAGAGCATTCACACTGGAGAACAGCCAAATAAATACTCTGAATGTGGCAAACGCTTTGCTCAGAATAGCTTCCTTGTAATTCATAGAAGGATCCACATAGGAAGATGCCCGACAACTGCTCCCAATGTGGTAAATTCTTTATCAAGCATGGCAACTTTGTGATACACCAGAGAAGTCACACAGGAGAGAAACCCTTTAAATGTCCTGAATGTGGGAAAAATTTCAGTCAGAGTTGCCATCTCATTAGCCACCAGAGGATTCACACAGGAGAGAAATGCTTTGACTGCCCTGATTGTGGGAAGCGTTTCAGTCAGAATTCTACTCTGGTGAAGCACCAAAGGACTCACACAGGAGAAAAACCTTTTCAGTGTCCCGATTGTGGGAAACGTTTCAATCAGAATTCCCACCTAGTGATACACAACAGGATTCACACAGGAGAGAAACCGTTCGAGTGTCCAGATTGTGGGAAAAGTTTCCGTTCCCATATTAACCTGGTGAACCACCAGAGGATTCACACAGGGGAGAAACCGTACAAGTGTCTAGAGTGTGGGAAATGTTTCAATCAGTATTCCTCCCTGGTGAAACACCACAGGACTCACACAGGAGAGAAACCCTTTGAATGTCCTGATTGTGGGAAAAGTTTCAGTCAGAAATCCTCCTTGGTGTCTCACCAGACAACTCACACAGGAGATAAACCTTTTGAATGTCCTGATTGTGGGAAAAACTTCAGTCAGAATGTCAACCTACTGATACACCAGAGGACACACACAGGAGAGAAACCTTACAAGTGTCCAGATTGTGGGAAAGGTTTTGGTTATCGTTCTACCCTGGTAAAACACCAGAGGACTCACACAGGAGAGAAACCATATGAGTGTCCAGATTGTGGGAAATGTTTCAGTTTGTATTCCAACTTGGTAAACCACCAGAGGATTCACACGGGGGAGAAACCGTACAAGTGTCTAGAGTGTGGGAAATGTTTCAGTCAGTATTCTTACCTGGTGAAACACCACAGGACTCACACAGGAGAGAAACCCTTTGAATGTCCTGATTGTGGGAAAAGTTTCAGTCAAAATTCCAGCCTGGTGATACATCAGAGGTCTCACACAGGAGAGAAACCCTTTGAATGTCCTGAATGTGGAAAAAGTTTCAGTCAGAATTCACACCTGCTGATACACCAGAGGACTCACACAGGAGAGAAACCATTTGAATGTCCAGAGTGTGGGAAAACTTTCAGTTATGCTTCTGGGCTTGTGAAACACCAGAGGACACATACAGGAAAGAAATCATAAAAGTATCCAGATTGTGGGAATGATTTCCATATTTGACCTAACATTATCAGCCATGTACTTTATACACAAGGGCACAAATACACAAATGTCCAGTCTATAGTCTTTCAGAAGCAAATCACCTCTTATTGCATACAAGCTAATGCACATGAGGCAAAAGTTGAGTTTAGAGAAGGCTTGAATTTCATTTCTGATCTCTTATTTGGGAAATGAATGTACAGAATTCTGCCCTGATTCTTTTTAGTCAACACATCTCAAGAGTTGGTGGAGAGAGATAAAGATGGAAAATGGTAGGCTGTTAAAAGCTAACTTTTTGGTTATCAGCAGATGTTTCTGGATATTTCCTTTTGCAGAACTTGTGAAATTACTGCAAAGAGACTTTTGGGTGGTGTGTTTTGTACATGGATTATGATATTTCCACATTTCAGCCTTCTATCTTGGTGTACTCTGGATGTTGAGCCCCAGAATTCCCTAGCCAACATATAAGTAGTTCTCGGGATACAACTGTAATGGGGCCTGCCAGTTAGATCCTGGCAGGCCCCTTTAGAGATTGAGATCCTGCTTTCCTTAATTAACCTGCTCTTATTGAATTAGTTAAATGAGTGCGAGTTATGAAGCAGAACACTGGTTACCTCAGGTTTGGGGAAAACTCTTGGAGGCAGGATGCAGGGTCTCACTTGCCTTCCAAAGGCCTCCTCTACCCCAACCCTTGGATCCTTCCCTGACAGAGTCCCCTTAAGCCTGTTACTCCCATGCAGTGTCCCCCAGGCTTTCCCAAATAGGACTCGCCAGGCCTCTCCCTCTGCCACAGGATCCCCACAGGCTTTTTTCCTCTCCCGCTGGCTCCCTGCAGTCCTTAGCCTTGACCCCTCCAGGCCTCACACCCTCTCCTCCTCCGTATCTTTTGAAGATCTCTGAACCTCATGTTGGGGAAGGATGCGGGAACACGTACAGCACTGTCCCGCATGACAATGTCCCGGAAGCAGCTGTTATTTTTAATGTACCCGTGATTTGTCCCTGAGCCATGGAGTTGACCTGTGGAAGCACCTGCCATTTTGCCACACCAACTTCAGAGCCAAAATGGAGGCTGCTTCTAAGATAATGTCATGTGGGACAGTGAGGGAGAAACCGCTTTTTTTGTGTCTTAACCCGTCAGACCACATTAAGAAATTGTGGGTTCATTGAAAATGACGGGTGACTTTGGGAGATCTTCAACAGGTGTGAGAGGTGAAGGGTGTGTGGGTAGTATGCCGAAGGCCTAGGTAAAAAAGCAATGTAAAATTTCACATGTAAAAACTGTTCTGCCGTGCAGATCAAGCTGATGGAGACCTCAATATTGAGTTGAGGAGAAAAGGTTTTGATCACAGGGTCTCCAGATGGATTAGCAACTCCTGTGTGCTCTTGATGATAGCAACACTAAGATGCTGGCATATTTGTGGCATCCCCCTTGGTGGTGGCAATGTGAGAAAAGGAATGTACAGTGAAAATGTTTCATTTTTAAAAATGCATCATGTAAGAACTGTCAGTAACTTTTTACAAGGAGAAAGGGGTATTGTCCGTGTTGCTGTGAATATTATGGCAAGGCAAGATACTTATAACTGCCCCAAACTTCATGATGAGTAGTGAATAAGTTTATTAATAGATGCATTTA